ATAAAATTCTACATTTAAGAATGAATAAGTTCGTAGCCAAAGATTAAAGTACAGTCTTTATTAGTCAATAAAGATCCCGTATAGAGTATGTAATATAAAAATAACACTAACAAAAAGTCACTTCAAATTCAAGTAGCTTGAGTTAGGTATTGGTATCAGTGTTGGCCTATGACCTAAGTCATATCATATTTTTAATATGATCTTGGTCATATGACTATATGACCTAGGTCATAAAGTTATAAGGTCATAACATTATTATCAAAGGTTATATGACTCATATGATCTAGGTCATATAACTAAAGGTCATAGGTTATAGATTTTAACCAATGAAAATTATACACATGTCAACTATTGTTAGCTATTTTAGGTTATAAATAATTGATAAGGAAGTTGAGTTATTATTGTACATACTGCATATAGTACTTATATATAGTTTAGTATGGTTATAATATTAGCTTCAAGCAGAATTTCATAATAATAGTTGGGGTTAATATGCATAACTTATTGAGTTAAACATTTTTGGAATAATCAAATACTTTGAATATTATTAAATACTTGTATTCACTATAAAATTCAAGACAACAGGTATAGTTATTGTAAATATGCTATTGTTAAAATAAAGTATAAAATTTTAATATTAAAGCTTTAGTACAAATAAATGTTATTTTAAACTCAAATACATAGCTATTTTAAAGGATTCAATTTATTAAATGATACCCATACCTGTTATTTCAGGTTTTACAGTATCTATATCCTTTTAATTAGTTACTATCACTATGTTTTTGTTGTTTACAAGACAGTTTAAGAAGATACTACATTATTAGTTTGTATTTTTTGATAAAATTATCATTATACATATTTTTATATTCATGTTTAGTTCTTAGCAATTTTATATTTTTTTCTATATAAAAACAATTAAATATTAATATGTACAAATTTATTCTCTTACTATAAATTAAGCTGGCTTCTTAACAAAAATTACAGAGCTTTTGAACTCAACTTCATTGTATTAAGGTTTTAATTAACTACTATTACTATATTGAAAATTCACTAAATGAAAATTATTATTATTATTATTATTATTATTATTATTATTATTATTATTATTTTTTTTTTTTTTTTTTTTTTTTTTAACTCTTGACATAGTTACTGTGGAATACTATATGGTATGCAATAAAATTATATTTAAAAATCATCACTATACTTTTTTTATATATAATAAATAATCTATATAATTAAATCTTAAAGTTTTTTTTTCAAGAAAATTTGTTACTATGTCATCTTATAATTTTAGAAGCTGTTTTACTCTAGTAAAAATCCAAATAATCTTATGAATATTTTTGCAATATGTAACTAGTATATAAAAAAATGTAGCAAATTAAGAACAACTCAACTAAAACCAGAATGTTGTATAGTTAACAAAGCATATTTGTATTATAATTATCTATTAAAATTTGAAGCATTTTGTAAAGCTAATAGTAAGGAAGAAGTACAAAAAATTCTAGCTTTACTAGTACCAGAAAATATTAAAAAAAAGTGAAAAAAAAACAATAAAGAAGCAGATAGTATATAGAATTTTTAAACTATATATAAAGTTATGATTTAGATTACATTATAGCACTAAATTATTATTTAATATAGATGAAGAATCTAATACTAATGAATTCACAGATTTGTATTCTAATTTAATAATTTCAACCTCAAGTTATTCATCTATTAATAGTTAACAATATATAATTATAAATTTTTTCAGTTGACCTCTTTCAGCTAATAACTTATTACAATTTGAACAATTGCTTTTAAGAATAATTGTTTCTAATACACTGCCTTTTACATTTATTGAGAATGAAAACACAATCACTGTATTTGAATTTTTAGTGCTAGAACTTAAATTGCCTAAGTGTAAAGTTATAAGTAGTAGAATATTAA